ACCTCAGCACACCTCAGGACGCACAGACGCCAACTGCCGCTTCGTGAGGCGCTCGAGCTCCCCGCCAGAGCCAAGGACCCGGCCTGCTCCTATTGGACACCAGCCGCAGCGGGAGGCCAATAGCCTCTCTTCTTCTTCCATGGGTCCCCGCTCACTGAAACAGCGATGCTCTCATTGGCTGATCGTACGCAAACTGACTGGGCGGCACCACGTGCAAGGAAGCCTCGTACCATTGGTAGAAATCAATGCCCATCACCTTGCACCCGGCCCCCGAAGAGCGGAGCGGATGACGATTTTTAGCGCTCTTTATTTGAACTTTCGGGCGGGAGAAAGTTGTAAGATTTCTTGCACCAATCCAGAATGGAGATGAAAATAATCAAAACTGTGGTTCCTGCTGCTTCTCCCTTATGCTTTAGTGAAGGAGCTATATTATCCAAAGGCTAGCAGTTAATCGAATAATTTGAAAATATTGGCCCCAGAATTCCTGGAAAGAGGTGTGGAACAATCTCTTTCATATATATCTCATGGGGTTGAAGAGCTCATGCAAAAGAATTTGCCTATACGATCTCTTCAATCTCAAACCACTGCCTTAAATCGCTTTATACTGAACAATCGTCACATCACTTAACAGCAAACATTTTTCAAGCATCTCGCTTTAAGACGAAATCACATTTTTAGGAAGAAGATTTAAAAATAACCTCGATGTGCACAGACTGCACACTGCCGAAATTTTATTAACTCAGCTGTCAATTTTGTGTGAAACCGGAATCAGAGGAGAGCATAAATAATTGAAAGTAAGAGAAAGCTGTGATTACAAAGAAGGGTTGGAAATATGCTTTGAAAATAGAGAGAGGGACATAGGCCAAGGAATGTGGACGGCTTCTAAAATCTGGGAATGGCAAGGCAAACGATTCTCTTTAGGGCCTCTAGGAAGGGATGCAGTTCTGCTAACATGAAGATGTTAGCCCAATGCCCTGTGTCAGACTTCTAAGATAATAAACTTGTGTTCTTTTAAACCATTAAAAAACATAATAATCGAATCCATGTGGTGATGTCACGCTCTTCCCGGCCTTTAGCCGCATGCCAGGAATGGGACCGCTCTTCTCCTTCCGCTCGCGGGCGCTATGGGGGATGCGGGGGTGCCGAATCCAGCCCGACCTCGCTCCCCCGCCCTCGGGCCTCGTGGCGTCGGCGGGAGTCGCTGGTCCTCTTGACGCAGCAGGCAGCCCTCGCTCGCCCCTTGTGGTTGTTGCCTTGCGGGCACCCATACCCGCAGCGAGGGTGGGGGGGACCCTTCGGCCACCCCGTCCCGCGTCCCCTCGGTGCGCGGGTGTTGGGTCTGTGTGGCCCTTTGCGGTGCCCCTGGAGCGCACCGGGTTGTTCCCCAGGATGCCCGGAGCAGAGCGGTGGTGTCGTCCCCGTCCCCGGCGCCCCCTCTGGTCGCCGCTGCAGAGTCTGCTGCGTGTGTCCCTGAGGAGTCGTCGGGGGTCGAGGCGGTAAGCCCAGGCGCCCTCCCGCGCCGCGCCGGCCGGGTGTTGCCTCGTGTCTCCACGGCGTGCGTGGCTGACTGAACGGCGAGCGCAAGCCCTGTGTTCCCCTCTGCAGGGGGTGTGAACGGTCGTGTGGGCGATCGTGGCACATGGTGCCAGCCGGCCCTGGAGGCCTGCACCGTGTTCTGGCTCTGGGAGCCCCTTCCATACGCTGACGGGGGAGGGGGGGGCTCGCTTTGAAGAAGCCGTTGGACAAGAAGCCGTGATCGCGAACGCTCAGGGTTGCCGCGCGCGCTTTCCCTATACCGCAGACCGCCCTCCCCGCCCTCGGGCGTGCCTGAGCGCCTCCGCCGGGCCCCGTCGGGACGACTGGCGTTAGGGGGCGACCCACCTTCGGTGAGGAAGTCTCTTCTCTAGCGACCCTGGAGACGTGCCTTTTGGGATACCCGATCCCCCAACCCGCCGCCTCTCTGCGCATCGTCAGCCGCCCTTGCGGCTGCCAGCTGTGCCTGCGCAGAGTCCCCTCAGCTGGAGGGGTCCGAGTGCCGCTCGTCGCCTCCCGTGGCCCGCGGCTCCCGGCTCTGGGCCGGCGTTCCAGCCGCGAGGGGCCCCCTGTGTGCGTTGCGTGCGCGCCCGCGGGTCTTTTTTTTTTTTTTTTTT